CTTCCTCTGTGGAGGAGGGAGTGAATCAGAGGAGAAACTGGGAACATTCTGGGGGAGAGGGGAGGGGACAAAGAAAGGACCTGGAGGATGACTTGGATGGGAAGTATCTGGGTGGGGAAGAGGGTCCTCAAACTCAAGGCTCACAACACTGATGGAGAATTTGAAGCACAGGGAGGACTGGAACCCCCCAGAGTGACACAGGAGAGAGGAAACTAGATCTCAGGGTTCCTGAGCAAAGAGCAGATGTGCATCCCAGGCCAGGAACCTATCCCAGCTCAGCCTAGAGCTGCAAGGACTGCAGGGAGAGCCCCTCAGTGTGTGTAACCTGGTGTGTAACCTGGTGTGTGTGTATGTGTGTATGTGTTTGTGTGTGTGTGTGTAAACACACATGCACATGGAATCATGTGCTGGTACAGAGAGCACAGTTGGCAGGAGCTGGGGGGTGGGGGGTGCCACCCAGGCCCCTGGGTGATGCCACAGCCTCCCTTGTGGTTCAGAGAGAGTGGGAGAGACACAGAAGGGGAGGCCAGGGAGGGAGGATGGCCAGAAACTGGGAGGGGAGGAAGCGGGGGGCTGTGGGGGGAACAGCGTTGATGGAGGCAAACCAAAGGCTAAGGAGGTGGGAAAGAGGGCGGAGGAAGCTGGAAGAAAGGGATGGTGAAAGGGAGGGAGGAGAGGAGAATGGACACTGATGGGAGCTGCATAGAGGGAGGGAGTGGGAGGGAGAGCTTCTTTGTTCTTTCTTCTTCTTCTCTTTCCCAGAGGGTGAGAGGAGGCAGGATGGGGCCGACTGTAGGGTGCTGGCAACCCTGTGGCCCCTTCCAGGTGGGCCCTTTGGCTGGGAGGGGCACATATATATAGCCAAGCTGCTTCCCCCACCATCCTAGCTGGAGCTGACCCTGCCTGCCAGTCACCTGCCAGAGCTATTTCTGGAATGTGGAATCTGGGTCAGAAGGGGGAGGGGGAGAGAGAGGAGTGGTGGCAGCAGTCCTGGCAGCTGGGAAGCTGGTGAGCTCTAAGTGGGTGGGTGGGCGGGCAGCTCCAGGCTCTGCCCACGGCCACTCTAGAGAGGCCCTCCCCTTCCGGGCTTTCACTGCCTCAATAACCCCTCCTCTCCCACATCCACCCACCTGCCTGCATATGACCTGAGTCCATACGTGCCCACGTGTTGAGTGACAGAGCTTTCATACCCCTCAGCAACCTGGGGGCTCAGAACAGCCCTAGGGCTGTGTGTGTACCTGGGGCCTGGACTTCTCACTTCCTGGAGACAGAGCTGAGGAGAGGAGGCTGCCTCCTGAGCAGGGGTGACCCCTGCGGGGCAACAGTGGCTGAGATAGGGTGGGCCTGCGTGTTGGTGTTGGTGTGGGTCTATATGGAGGGAGGTCATTATGGGCAGAATTGCCATGGATGGTTGTGCAAGTTTTCCACTGATTAAGGATGCCACATATAGGGCGGGTGCTGTTTACAATACAGACATAATTGAATTATATACTTATCACGACAAATTTGTGACAGATGGCAGAAAAAGACCTTGTTCTAATAAAAATCATACATCGTGACAATTTTCCAATAGATGGCAATTAAGTATCTTGGGGGGAGTGCCCTTTCCTAACCCAGCACAAAGGTACCGTATGGACCAGCGGCAGCTCTGGGCACAGGTTGGAAAATCTGGTGGCTTTGGTTTTCCCTGTGAGGCAGGTGGGTTTACCTCCTGAGCATGAGGGGATCGGAGGGTGGAGGAGAGACGAGCAAGTATGTAGTGGTCACTGTGGAGACTTGATGGGGGGCTGACCTGGAAAATGTTGGGGGTGAGTTTTTTTGGTGGCTCTAATCTGCTAGAAGCATGATTTCCTCACAGGTGTGGAGGGGGCATGAGTCTTGAAAGAGACACACGTGTGTGAGTATGTATGCAGGTGTATGTAGAGATGACGCGTATATGTGCACATGTGGGGAATATCCATGTGCATGTGTTTTTATAACTTTTCATATACAGAGGTCTAAGGGTCTACAACTTCACGTATGTCTGTAAGTAGGTGAACTTGTGCACACATGTCTGAGTACGTGTGAGGTATTATTGCTACATGATACTTTCTTGAGTGTCTTGGTTTGGACTACAGCCCCCAAACTGAGAATAATTGGAGGCCCACTCCCTATATTTAAAGCCAGGTGCTGGATCACCCATACAGGACAGACTGTTGGGGGTGGGTGTGGTTGATAGAATTTTTGACCTCTTTTTCTTTTTAGATTTTAGGCTACTCAATCAAGAGGAGCCGCATCCAGACCCGACATAAATCATGAGATCCCACTGTTATGACTGGAAGAGACTTTGGGGGTCTTGAGGATAAGTGTATTTTTTTTTTTAAAGATTTATTTATTTATTAGAGAACGAGAGGGAGAGAGAGTGTGCACGTGCGAGCGCATGCACCACCACGGAGAGGGGCAGAGGTGGAGGGGGAGAGAATCTCAAGCAGACTCTGCACTGAGTGCAGAGCCCCATGCAGGGCTCACTCTCACAACCCTGAGATCATGACCTGAGCTAAAACCAGAGTCAGATGCTTAACCAACTGAGCCACCCATGTGCACCAGATAAGTGTATTTTCTACGTGAGAGGATCATGAATAAATGTGGCCAAGAGAGTGGACTACAGTAGATTCAATTATTAACCCTAACTTTTCACCCCTCCCTGTATCCACACCATTGCCATAAAAATACAGTTTCTTACACAGAGGTAGGAGGGTACCTCTCCATCCCCTGTCTTTGAGCTCAGTCATATGACTTCCTTTAACCAATAGAATTTTAGCAGATAGTATGTATGTAGAAGCCTTGAAATGTGCCTGTGTCCTTAGGCTTGTTCTCTTGTGCTTCTGCCATCACCATGAAAAGAACATGCCCTGGTTGGGTCACTGATTCCGGGAGGACCCTTTGGTTCTAGGAGGACGATGAGAGAGATGTGGGACAGAACTGTTCCAGCTGACCCACAAATGTGGGAGCAAGAAATAAGTGTTAATTGTTGTATTACACTGATTTTGTGGTTCTTTGTTATGCAGCACTATTGTGGCAATAGCTGATCAATATAGGGACCCAAGCAGTTCCGGGACATGTAGCCCATGACCCATCCTTAGTCCATTCATGAGTGATTTGGTTTGGGGAAGATTAGAGGATGAGTGTCTATTTGGAGAAAAGTGCCGGCTCATCTCATGCCTAGAGAACATCTCACGGGCCTGATGATAGGGGGAATCTGGTCCCTTATCTGAGGCTCCTAGGGGGACCGTAGCAGGGTGCCTGGGAGAGCCTGGCAGGGATGCCCTGGATTTGGAGGCCCTAGAACTGGGCCTCAGCATCTGCTAGGAGACCTCTAAAATAGAGACTGGCAGGGTTACCCATGACAGCAGGTCTAGGAGAAGGCCTTAGCATAGAAGCCCATACTTCCAGAGCTCCCCAGGGCGAGGGCCTCTTTGTCACACAGGTAGAATGGGAGTCAAGGAGGAAAGTGAGGCTGGAGTTGTCATCAGAGGATTTTTGTCTAAGCTGCCCGCCCAGCAAGGCCAAGTCCCTTAGCGAAGAGAAGCTGAGTGGGGAGGAGGGGGACCAGCAGATGGAGATGCAGAGGGGGAATAAGAAGCAGTGGGCTGGAGGGGGACTGCCTGTGCCAGGGAAGGAGGCACCGTGAGGCCCTCCGAAAGCATCACTGAGCAGAGAGAGCCAGCATGTGGCTTCGGTCATCCAGAAAGTCCCGACATCGGACAACACCTGTGCTGGCTACCTTCCCCTGCCACCTGGACGGACCAGACATGGCCACTAGGGAACAAGGGACAGAGCCGACAATGACCACCATGCCCAGCTCCTCCTGTGGGCTTCATAGCCCGAGTCAGGCTCTACCTGCAGAAGCATGAGATCTGAGGTTGGTAAGACTGAAGCTTTGCAGTGAGGCCAGACTTGACTCAACACCTAAAAATGAGACTATTCCTTACGGTCTAAAAGTGACTGGAAAAGCTCAGGGATCTGCCCAGAAATCACCCAGGACTGGAAAGACAATAGGGAGACAAAGTCGTTTCTTGCTCTGCCCCCTGCAAAGGCAAGTTCATTCATTCGATAGACTAATTTCCTTTGTACAGAATATGCATAGGATTCAAGTTCATTTATTTACATCAAACACCAACTGAGCACTCAAAACATGTCTCTTTTCCTACAACAATCCAATCCCAACTGCTTCTGACTGCCAGGAAAGTCGGAGTCATGTCTGAGAAGCAAAAATAATAGCTCCCACCATGTGCAAGGCCCTGCCTGAACACTCCCTGATCTCATCTCCCCAAGAACTCTCTGGGGCCTGGCTTATGCTTCAGTGTATAGATGAGGAAACTGAGACTCCCAGAGGAAAACTAGCTAGCCAGAGAAAGAGTGAAACTCTCTCTACTAAGCCAGAAATAGTCTATGATTTTCCCTGGTCTTGGTTTTCATGGCTTACTCTGTGACGCAGGGTTCCCCTTTTTCTCTGATCATGCATAGACTGTCACCGGAGGACTTACAACAAGAGTCAGGAAGGACAGGGATGTCTCTGTGGATATGAGAGACACCTGCAAACCCACCCTGCTGAGAAGGCTCAGTGCAGACGCCATCCTCCTCTTTGCAGATTCTGACCTCCCCATAGGTTCGCCTACCTGAACTAATCCAAATAGGGAGGTGCGGCTTCAGGAAGCCCTGCCCACCGGCAGGTGGCTGCTCTGAGCCAGCTTCGGGATCCCAAAGCAGGGGCCCTCTCTGACCCCCTCGCCCTATTGTCAGTGATGACATCTCCCTCTGTGACCCCCGTTTGAGCTCCAATTTGTCCTTTGGTGGGAAGTTCAGTCTCAAGCCTTCCTGCTTGTGCCCCTATTTCTCCAACCCTGGCTAGCCCACCATGGATTCTTCCCCAGCATTCCCCACATCTGGTCCACCGGGAATGGTCCCTGGGGGTCCCTTGTGTGAAACAAACACCCCCTGCCCCCAATCTCAGTACTCACTTGGAAGCGTGCGACTGTTGCTGAGGCTGCCAGTGCTGGGCGGAGGGGAGAGGGACTGCAGGGAGACACTGTCCTCCTCCTGCGAGCAGCCCGCCTGGATGGCCCGCAGGTAGCTGTGGCTGCGGGAGCGAAAGTAGCTGGGCAACGGCAAGTCCAGTGCCTCGGCGGCTGCAGACTCCGCTTCACTGCAGGCAGACTCGCAGGCTGCCTCATACTGGTCGCTCAGATCTGCCTCCCGTACCTAGCCGGGCAAAGGCGGGCGTCAGGGGCCAGCAGCGCCCATTCTGGAGGGACGGGATGCTTGGTGGGGGCAGGGCTGGAGAGTCGGGGCGGTGGGGGGGCTCAATTCAGCCCACCCTTTCCTCACATCTCACTCTTTGGACCTCAGTTTTCCCATGTCTACAACGCAAGAGAAACTATTAAGGATACTTAGTGGATCTTGTGTGTTCAAACTGATCAACTGATAGATCCTGAGGTCACATCTGAATTCAGCCACAAAGAAGGCTCTCATCAATTAGTAATGTCTACCTTGAATGTTGGAATGGGAGGTGGCAGTAGGTGTGCTAGATATTTACCATCTTATGGTCCAATTCCTTTATTTTCACAAGCAAAGAAACTGAGGGCCAGTGAGGGGAAGATACTTGCCAGGTGTACCCAGTGAGGAAGTGGCTGAATCGATACTCCAAATATGAATTTAAGGAAGATTAGTCTAGCCCTGGGGTACAGAATGAATGTTGGGAAGGGAGTCTGGAACGGAGGCTGAGGCCAGAGATGAAGCTGATGCGACAGTCTGGTAAGAGAAGAGAAAACTGGAACGAGGGTAGTGGCAGTGAGGATTGATTAGAGATGTCAAGGGCTGTATGGAGAATGGTGACATGCATACTGTTTGTCATCTCACATCTAGTTCAACCCTATCTAGATGGTTTCTAAGTGTCTCTCTAGAGATGGCCATCCAAGATCCTACAGCTCTGCAGCTGGGAGCGTGAGCATACGGGGCCCCGCCATACATATACTCTCCAAGCGTTCTGGAAGGGTCTGTTTGACCCAGGTCTTAGGTCATGATGGTAACTGGAGACCACAGAGTATAAGCTGAGGAGTCGGCGGGCAAAGGATGGACACTGAGTGGAGGTCCTGAGGGGAGGCCTGGGCAAGAAGGGAGGGGGTAGAAGTTGACTGAGCACCATGTGGAGGAAAGATGGAGTTGTGCCTGGGGCCAGCTCTGCCTGTGTGACCTCCGACTATCACCATCCTCTGGGTCAGTGTTTCCCATCTAAATGAAATGCCTGGAACTGCATCAGGTAAAATGACTAGATGGATCATCACCCAATTTGAAGCATATGTGTTTGGAAAAGTCTAAATTTGTGCTGTCCAATATGGTAGCAACTAACCACGTGTGGCTATTTAGGTTTTAAATTAATTTAAATTAAACAAAAAATTCAGTTCCTTAGCCACGCTAGCTACGTTTCACTTGCTTATGCCACCTTACGGGACAGCGTGTAGTACAGGACATATCCATCTTCACAGAAAGTTCTTTCGGACAACACTGATAAATTAAAATGTAGGCCATGTGGCATACCCAACATTTATTTGGAGTAGGTTTGAAAGAGACAGGTGTTTATCCTCCACGGCTATAATCTGAAGTACACTGAGAGGCCCTTGCGATTGCCAAGGGCAATGAGGTCTTGCTTTGGGATTGCAGGCATGGCACAGTTCTGGAACTGGACTGCCAGAGTTTCGACCCCGGGTCCATCATTTCCTTGCAGTATGAATATGGGCAAGGCACTTAACTGCTCTGTGCCTCCGTTTCCCCATCTATAAAATAAGGGCTAATTAGAGACCAAATTTCATAGGATTGTTGTCAAAATTAAATGAGGTCATTCATATCACATGCTGAGAACAGTCAGGAGAATAAGCACCTGGTGACCTGTCCCTATTATTAAAGGAAGCTCCGTAGGGTGAGGGCAAGGATTTGTTAAGTATCGGTTAAGATGCTCCCGAGCTCTGGGAGGTTAGCCAGCTGGTCAGAGCTGTTGGTATGTGTGTCACTGAGGAATTACTGTGTGCAGGGAACACCCTGGAATTTTGTATGTTAGCACATCACATCCTTACTACAAGCCTGTGGAAGTTAGTGGAGGAAGAGGTCAGCTGGCCCCCTGTGGGCTCCCCAAAGACCCTCTGGAACACTGTGTTCGAGAAGAACTATGACTTGAACGTGGGAGGCAGGCACATGAGGCATCCACGGCTAGAATCAGGAGGTGAGGGGCCAGTCCTAGTTTTGCCCCTTGGACAGGTCCCTTGTCCACTCCTGGCCACAGTGAGGGGATGAGCTCGGGGCCCCTTTCAGCATCTCGTTCTGGTCTTGGAGCTGGGAAGGAGGAGAGGGCCACTTCCGGGGCAGGGTGGGTGTGCCCAGGAAGGGGGCACCCTTAGGGCAAACAGCCAGCATGCCAGGACTAGCTCCACCCCACCAAGTTTTGTAAAATGGAAAAGTCTCTGCATTCATGCCAATGCCCCAACATCCTTAAAGGTCTTGTTGGAGCCCAAGAAAGGAGAAAAGTTAGGGAATCTGGGGTCTGGGACCTGAAGGCCAATACCACTAGCCCCCAGCTGCCAACGTGTCCAAATAAAAGTCTCCCTAGGTAGAAGACTCCCAGGGTCCGCTTTCCTTTACCCTGGGATTATTTCTTGCCCCATCCATAGGACCTAGCCCATTCTTTCCCATTTTTGAGAAGAGGAAACTGAGGTGCAGAAAAGTGAAGTGAAAGGGTCAGTGAGGGAAAGGTCAGGGCAGAGTGTGAGCCTCGACTCCGTGCTCAAGGGTGGTGCCTTTCCTGGCACTGGCTCTGCTGGCACCTGCTGGGGCCAGGGGCTGGGACCACTAAGGTGCCAGGCCTCAGACCTAGCCCTGGACTCTGGGATTGGGGTACGAGAGAATGGCAAGCATACTGACCTGCTGCTCATGGCCAAACAACTGGGGGATCAGGGAGGCCTGTCCAAAAATCTGCAGGAAAGAGAGGGGGAGGGTTATGGGGAGACCAAGGCTGGGGGTTGGGGTAGGGTATTCAGATTCGGCTGCAAGAGAACTAGTGGCTGGCTGGGCTAACGTCCTCCTCAGACTGGCTGAGGCCTAGTCTGCTAGGAAGTCTCACTTAGCTTCCTCCAGGGATGGGAGGCTCACTCCTTCAGGGGCTGGGTGCTACCAAGGCTTTGTAATCTGCTGTTTACGCTTCTTTCTTTTGGTCTGGCCCCTGGGAGATGCCCTGTCTGCTGCCTCTCACCTAGGCAGGCAGGCCCCCCCCCCCCCCCCGATCTACAGATTAGTTCCAGAGCCCAGAGCCTTCTCTTCCTGGTCAGGGCCTACATAGTCCAGTGCCTGGTAGGAGGGGGGCTCCTTCTGGCAGGAGTCAAGGCCTCAGAGACACAGTCAGAGCTGGGACATCTCTGACTCTAGGGGCACATATGAGGCTCGGGTCACTCAAGCTTCTAGGGGTGAGGGTTTGAGGGCTCAGAGGACCCTGGCTTAGGAGAGAGCTGGGCTGGGCAGAGGGTAGTGGCAGAGACTGCTGGGGTCCCCAGCCTGGCTGATCCCATGCACCCTTTTGTGTAGCCAAAGCACAAAGTGTTCCAGATGCCAGGGCCAGGCAGAGGTGAAAATGGGGTACGTGAGAGGGAAAGACTCAGAGAGAAACATGGATATGGGACCTACGAGAGGGAGTCAGATAAAAATGTGAATGAGGGGAGAGAAAAACAGAGGGAGACAGATACAAAGACAGAAGACTGAGAGACAAGAGAGCGCGGCAGGATAGGAGACACCAGGGGGAAGCGATCCGTTCAGCAGGCACCCATGTGCCCTGTGCCACGGGCTGAGGACAAGGAACCACACAGCAAGGTCCCCACCTGCGGGGAGCTCCCGGTCTTAAGAGTGAGACAGACATCAACTAAATAAACAGATACAACTCCAGACAGTGATAGTGTTGTCAAGAAAATCAAGCAGGATAAGGGAATGGTGTCCTGGGGGCTCCTTTCGACCTTTCGACGAGTGATAGGGCAGGTTCCCCTGAGGTGACATTTGAGCCAAGACTGAAACACAGAGAAGAACCAGCTGAGCAAAGATCTGAGCGAGGGGTGCTCCTGGGAGAGGAAACAGCAAGGTGTGTGAGGTGTGTGAGGAGCAGAAAGGAGGCAGGTGTGGCTGCAGCAGGACACAGGACAGAGCATCTGAGATCCCGTGTCAGAGGGAGGCAGGCCCGCGCCCAGCTGCGTAATGAGTCTGGCTTTCACTGGGGGCAGGCAGGAGCCATGGAGGGTTTGCAGCAGGGACATGGTGTGATCTGCCTTCCATCCTTCACAAAGCTCCCTTTGGCCATGGGGAACAGAGTGCAGGTGGCACGCCTAGAGGCCAGGAGACTTGGTGGGGCCTGCATGAGGGTGGCAGGGACAGAGTCCCATGGTTGGGATGCTCTATTCCTCCCCATGTCTGAGGTCAGTCTCCTTGATCTGGGAATGACAGTGCTGAGTGCTGAGGTCAGTGCTAGGGGCTCAAGGGGGGATGCTATGGCCGGGCCAGGAACAGCGGAGTGGTGAGGAGCTGGGATCCGAAAGCCTTTCAGTGCTAAGCAGCGCATTAGCCCGGGCCATGGGGCTACATGCAGTGGGACCTGGGGCCTGTCCCTGCCCAGAAAGGAGGGTGGGGCCGCACGGGGTGCCTCCACTGCCCCACTCTGCTACTCCTAGCAGGTGTTGCCCTTTCTGGGCCTCATCTCCCCATCCACATTATAGGGGAGCCCTCGAAACTTGGCTGGTCCTCCCTTTGCAAGCCCTAAAGTACTGTGCACATGGCAGGGGCTGGGGTCCAGGTGTAGGTCTGACAGCCCTGGATCTCTGCCCAGCTCTGCCTCCTCCTTGCTGTGTGAGCTCACCAGCTGAGCCTCAGTTTCCTCATCTGTGAATTGGGTATATAAATAAGGAGCACACCTCCCCCCCACCCCCCGACGTGGCTTCAAGGAGCTGGGAGTTAAGAGAATGAAAATTGCAGCACAGCATGCTTATTGCTGTTAGTGACAGAGGCGTCTGGACCTTGAAATTCTGACTTTCTACTGAGCCTGTGGGACATGGAAGTCCAGAGTGGAGAAGAAACTTACCCAAGGTCATACAGCAAGATAACAATAATAACCATAAAGTTAGCTACCCTTTGCTGAGAACACTATGTTCCTATCTCCTTAATTCCTCACAACGCTTTGAAATAGGAATTATCACCCTTCTGAGTAAATAAGGAAACTGAGGCTCAGGGAGGGAGTGACTTGTCCTGGGTTCATACTCTCAGTGACAAGACTGGACTCAAGCTCAGGTCTCCAGTTCCCTCTGTGCAGGGCTCCTGGGTCTATAGCAGTGCTGTGGCCCCTCCCTCGGGGCCCTCAGCTCAGGCCATGGCATGTCAGGCCCTGTGACCGCTCTCCAGCCACAGGACAGTCGGTGGGACAGACATACATACACAGGCAGCTATGGGAACAAAGACCAAGCAGAAGCACAGTGCAGACATCTGGGGACCACTCGCCCTGGGGCCCTCCTCGGTGAGAGCTGGGGATCTCCCAAGCCCACTGACTTTGGCTAGCTGCCACCCTCACCTGGCTGATGCAGCTGGAGTCGTTGAGGCTGTCGCTGACCGGGTTGTAGTCCTCCTCCCAGCTCGGACACTTGGAGGGCAGCAGCATGTCCACTGAATCCAGGCGGTCCAGACTCCTGGTGAGGGTGGGGAGCAGACAGGGCTCAGCCCACCCATTGCTCAGCCTGAGAAACAGGCCCAGAGGAGGAAAGACTGGCCAAGGCCATCCAGTGACAGAGGGAAAAATAGAAGCCACTGCCAGACTGCGCAGTGTCCGGGGAGCGGGGGGGCAGGGTGGGCAGGTCGGGGACACTGAGCAAGGGGAGAGCTCCGAGCTCTGGGAAGCTTGAATCTGGTGGGTGGGGTGATCCTCACATGTCATGTCTGCTGCAGCCACAAGGTGGCAGCACAAGCTCACTTTTGACCATTTGACCATTTCCAAGGATGCAGGCCACACCAGCCCAATGCTACAGCCCCCTCCCCCACAGGTCTGGGGCAAATCCGATGCCCGGACAGAGGAGGTAGGTCAAGGCTCACGGCCTTGATCTCAGGCTAGAGCTGCCCAAAGGGCATCAGTTTCAACACGATATCCAGGTAGCTTCCACCAGGCCCCCCCAGACTCAGCACTTCTCATGGCCCCTGCTCTTCAATTTTTCTCACATCTACCTGACCCTGGGTTTCTACCCCTCACCACTGCTCTGGGGTTAAGAGACAAGCACCCAACAGCTCAGGCCTTGACATAGATGGGCTTGGATTGGAATGGAGCTTCCTCACTGGGTGACCCTGGGCAAGTCATGACCCCTTGCCTATGTCTCTGTTTCCTCACCTACAAAGCGGGGGTGACACTGTGCCTGCCTGCGTGGGGCTGTGATGAGGAGGATTCGGGAATCACACTAAAGTGCACTGGGGCAGGCACAGAGCCCAGAGTGCGTCAAGTGCTAACAGATGGTGCCCATTACTACTGATACTATTATTATTATTTATTTCCTCTCATTCAAGGTCTGGGCCTGGGTCCTGTCTTCCTTTCCCACCTCAGTGCCCACTGGTCATTCATGGAAATGTAGGCTCCCAGGACTAGAAGGGGTCTTAGAGATCATGCAGCTTAGCCCCCTCACTTAAAGATGGGGAAACTGAGGCTCAGAGAGGGATAGACCTGGGACTGGCCAGTGGTGTCCTGAATTCCCAGCTGGAGGCCATTCCCTGCCTTCTGTCCCACTGTAAACCCCCTAAGCAAATCCCTGTGGCAAGGGGACTCCGGGCTTCTCGGAATACACTGGCCCTCTGCCTCAGCGCTCTGTCACCCTACCTGCTCTCTTCCCTCTGTCGTAGTCCTCCCAGGCCCCTCCTCCCTGAAGCCTTGGCTCTTGCCCCCAGTATTTGAAGAATTAGGACTAAGCTTGTTTCCCTTAATGCTTCTTTTTGTTTCTGACTTGCTTTTGTTTCTTTTCCTCAAAGGACTTTGATTCCCTCCTAAGTTTTACCTGTTTTGTACTTGATGATGGGCTTTCTGTAACTTTTTTTTCCCCTCTCATTCTTTTCTGTTCTGATCCCAATGGTGATTTCTGCATGCGAAAGTCTCACCTTTCTCTAACATTTTAATTGTTGTTTTTTGTGTGCATGCATCTCATTTGTTCATACTTTCATTAACTCTTCCAAGTCTTAAAGCAACAGGAAAGGGCTTGAATGGTGGAATTCCAGGCAGGGTGACAGGACAGGTGAAGGCTGTCTATCTCTCTTTGACTTCTGGATACATCCTCCTCCCCAGTCTAGGAGCTCACCACAGGGGTCAATTACAGGGCCAAGGGCAGAGGGGGCTCTGGCCTTCCCTGGAAAGCAAGTACCTTGCTGGTACAAGTGGTGGGATCACTAGGGGCAGGGTTCTCCTAACCTGAAGAAGAGGGTTCCCTGGCCCAGTTCCCCTGTGGGTGTGGAACTCACCTGGTGATGTGGCTCCTGCGGGCAGGGCCAGTCACTCTAGGGAGACTCTTCTTATCGTTTACCAAAGGATGAGACGCACCAGTGGTCAGGGCTTAACTGTGGGGGCTTATGGGGTGGTTCACCAAATGGCGGGGCTCTCCGGAGTCAACTCGTCAAAGGGGCCAACCTAAGGACGAGGATCTCAGGGAGAAGGCTAACCTAAAGTCGGGTTTACCTAGGGGGCCTGGATTATTGGGAGCCCGGGTTCACCTGGATCTGAGGCTGTAGGGCAGGATTCACCTATGGGGCGGGGCTTTCCTAAGGGGCCGTAGGGAAGGAAAGCGAGGCTCCCGGGGGTGGGACACGCCTGTGAGGAGCTCACCTATGGACTAGCCTTGCCAGTGAGCGGAACCTGTGACAGCGGAGGAGGCTTTCCCAGGGGAGAGCTCACGTGCGGGAGGCGGGGAGGTCTCCAATGGGCTGGTAAGCCTGTGGGCGGGGCTCCCAGCAGGCGGGACTTCGGAGATCTCCTGGGACGGGACTCGGACTTCGCAGCGGCTCTCCCGGGGGGCGGGGCTCCGGGGGGGCCGGGCTAGCCTGTGGGCGGGGCTCTAGTAAGCGGGGCGGCGCGCTCACCTGCGGGGGTTGCTCTGCTCTCCCAGCGACTGCTGCGTGGCCCTCAAGTAGCTCTGGCGCCGCGCGGCCGTCTTGGGTGAGGGCTTGGGGCTGCCGCCGGACTCATCACTGTCCTCATCGCCCATGGCCTTGATGTAGCTGCCGCTGCGCATGCGCCTGCACGGGATGGGGCCCTCGGCCGCGGCGTCCGCGTCGCGCGGGGACAGCAGCCCGGTGCTCCACTCGCCGCCGCCGCCGGGCACCTGAGGATGGGTGGACAGACCTCAGCGAGGGTGGGGAGGGATCGGGGGCAGCGCACACTCTCAGCGCGCCGCTGGCCGCCCATCCTCGCGCACAACACCTGGAGAATGATGCTCGGGACCCTGAAGCTCCCCGGCTCCCCACCTCGGAGGGTTTCAGCCTTCTGTGCTGGGTACTGCCATTGAAGCCACCCAGGAGCAGGGCAGAGCCCCGGGCTGGGAAGGACACGAGTTCCAGAGCCGGCTCTGCCACAGCTTCACTGGGTGGCCTTAAGCAAATCCTTGCCCCTCTTCGGATCCAGATTTCTCCATGGATCCCAGGCTGGGTGTGCCCCAGCAAAACGGGCCAGGCTGTAAGATCACAGTGGGTGTTCACTGCAGCTCCTTTTCTGAGTACCCACTGTGTTCCCATCACGTCACCCTGCTCTTAGAGGATGGCTTATGATCCCACTACACAGATGAGAACATCAGACCAGACTGAGGCCCTCAGACCTGGCACCAAGATCCTGTCCTAGGACGGGGGTGGGGGCAGGGAGGACTGGTCAGAGGATGCCAGCACATCAGTAGATCGGGTGGGTCCTTGGAGCCAATGGACATCCTGTACCCCTTACTAGTGGGTAAGCCCAGGCACAGGGTGCAGAGAGACTGGTGGGGGTCTGGCAGCCAGGTAGTGACCTGGAAAGGGGGCTGTTTTCCCATCTGACATGTATACACAGTGGACATTCACCTCATGATGAAAGATTTCACACATCTTAGCACTTACAAGGTCCCTCAGCCCAAGCACAGAGCTAACACACCTTGCCATGTACACACATCTCAGAGAGCAAACGTACCTTCCCCCACCCCCCATCTCCCCAAGGACATGTCCCCCAGCAGGCACTCATCACTGCATGCCCCTCAACAAGTATACAACATGAACACAAAGCATACTCACACCCTCCTCACGAACACACCGCACTGCGGACACACGGCAGCATGTCCCCACCTCGCTGTGTCTTTGCCTCAACACATACAGAGTGCACACCTTCGCTAGGTTCTACACACTTCACCACAGATGCCTGGGTGACACACATTTCTCGGTGTATACAGCATCGCCATTCTTCACCACATGCAAACTGCACTCCCAGAATCATATCCACACAGATACAACCTCCTTCCAGGTGCCCGTATTGCCAGTGGCCAATTCTCGGCTGAGGGACGGTCCCAGTCTGGGATTCCCACCCCAGGACCCCCGCCCCCTGAGCTAACTGCCCAACCAGTCACTAAGGCCCACACATTCTACCTCCCAAACCATTTGCTAGTCCATCTTCCCTATCTTCACCTGTCCCTTGGGAAGGCGGTCTTCGATATTCCTGCTTAAAACCTGTTGCTACCTCAGCACCCCACCCACCCACCTCCCATGACCCAAGCAGATAGCACAAACCCCAGAGCCTGCAGGGCCACCCTTTCATGGTGTTTCTGAAGCATTTTCACATGATCAGACCAAACCAAGCCATTTTGAGAGGAAGCCAGGTCACACACCACCCTCTCTGATGTTTCTAAACCAAAGAAGTGGATTGAGAGCCACAAAAGCCTTAAATATATAAAATACTGCCTAGATTTCCATTTTCCTCCTATTGAAAAAAAAATAGCTTTTCCCCCCATAGTCTCACTGTCTTTGGAATTTTTATATAGAATGACAAGAACTCAGGGCTTTGTCAGACTTTGATGTTCATCTGGTTCAAAATGCATCTGTGTTCCCAAAGGCTGGCCAGGCCTGTGCTGGCACACCCCCCAGGATGTAGCGCTCACTACCTACAGAAGCAGCCCCTTCCATCTTGGTGGGTTCTGAAATCTGCTTCCTGTAACTTCCACCCACAGCTTGGGTTCTGCCCCCAGGAACTGCACCCAGTTCATAACCCCGGGCTTTGCTCTTGAGGGCCCCAGGGGGATGTGTAGCAACAGAGATGTCTCTGAGCCTTCTGCCAATTTCCAGGAGTGTGGCTTTGCAAAGTGCATATTAAGTGCCTCAGTAAACATTAACACTTGAAAGGAGAAAGCTAGTCCCCCAAGCTGGCTTAGGGCCTCCTACAGCCCTCCATGCTGATCTCCATCACACTCTGCTCACACTGACATGACTATCCGTTCATGCATCTTTCTCTCCCAGCATCCTGATAATTGGGGCTCTGTCTTATTTATTTCTAGCTCTGTTCACTTAAATGTCCATCTGTTCCTCTGGCCCTCTCTCTTCTCACATTTCCTGAGCACTTCCTCTCTGCCAGACCCTGTCCTGGGCCTTAGGGACACACAGCTGCGTCAGATGTGGTCCCTGTCTTCAAGGAGCCCCTGGTCTGGTGGGGGTAGCAGGCAGGAGGCTGGCATTTAGAATGCCATGCAATGGGTCCTATCAGGAGGGTGGAGGGCACAGCTTCCAGATTTGTCCTCTAGAGGGCAGGTACACGTTTTAGTTCCTACTCTTGGGCTGGGCTCAGAAGAACCCTAATCAATGTCTGCTGAAAGCATGACCAGTGGAAGGAATCCCCTTATTAGCAAGTACCACCAGATACCCATTTCACAGGTGTTTATTCACAGAAGCCCATAATGAAGCGACTTTCCAAGTAAATCTGTGGTATAGCTGAGTCTCAGAACAGGTGCCCTCCCCATATTCCTTACCCCACCCCTAATCATGGAGGGACCCACCTGCAGGTAATGGTAGGCTAGACCCTGGTGGCAGGATTTGGACTTTAGCAGGCTCTTATCCAAGGTGGCTGAGGTCTTCTGGCAGACTTCATGGGCGTGGCTGAGGGTCAGAGTAGACCAGGAGCCCCGCTTGACATAGTTGGTGTCGGTGCCCACCCCAAGGCTGGGGCAGGTGGCTGGGGGTGCGGGTGGGGGTGGCGGGGCAGTCAGCTCAGCGGTGTTGTTTTTGGCTGCTTTGAGCATATGCCCGCTGATGGTGTTGTAGGCGTGCATGAAGTAGCGTGGCTGGCTGCGTTCCGCCTGTCGGCCGAGCGTCATCAGCCCAGAGGCTGGACCACTGCTGCGGAAGGCGCCACCCTCGCCATCCAAGTTGTCATCAGAGCTCCACCAGCCCGAGATGTTGGAGCGGCTACGCCGTTTGGGTTCCCCAGCCTTGGCCCGTTCCTTGCTCTTGGCCCTCCGGCCCTTGCCGTCCTCCAGGCCACCTTTCTTGCTGCCATTGCCACCGACCTTGGCTGCCGCGCCCTCCAGTGAGGGCGCCTTGGTGAAGAAGAGCCGCTGGACCGAGTGGACCAGGTGGCGGATGCGGCCAGGACTCTCACCTCGGGCCTTGGCCTCACCACGGGGGAACTGGAGCGTGCTAAAGCCATCGCGGTGGATGGGCAGTTGCTTCTCAAACTGGTCCAGGAGGTTGGCAGGCAGCCGGTTGATCTTGGTGGCCTGGGCATGGCTGGGGAAGGGGCTCTCCTCTGGCACCTCGAAGTGGGAGTTATAGTGGATGCGGGGGAAGGTGCTGCTTGGAGGCGGCAGTTGGTTGTTGAGTGGAAAGAGACCATCCCCAGGCAGAGCGTTCTGGCCAGGGAATCGAGCCTCGCGGGCAAAGGCCTCCGTGGGCGATAGCAGGTAGGGGTTGCGATCAGGCCCTGCAAACAGGGGCTCATGCGGTGGGTCCAGGCTGTCGGAGAGGTGGCGAGGGCGGCTGTCACCGAGGCCTTTCATGATCCCGGCCCTCAGGGCAGGGGCCGTTGCCCTAGTGGGGCGCCCGGGTTGCGTCTCCCAGGCGGCAGCTATCCTGGGGAGAAAAAACAGAGAGGAAATCAGCTGAATTTGGAGGGGACAGGGTACTGGGAATGTCACCCAGACCCCCACAGATCTCAGGATGGGGAGGACTTCTGAAGACTCTTGGCCTGCCCTTAACACTGTGAGGTGGAGGACAAGAAGACAAACGGAGGCCCACATGCTATATGTGTAATTCAAAGTCGTAGTTCAGGCTGGCAAACTGTTAAACAGATCCTACCTTGATGAACATATCTTCATAACAACCTGGAAAGCCAAGTTCGAACTCAGACTTCCTGGTCTCCTCCAAATTCCATGATCGAATGTAGTGGGTGGGGGGAGTGGCTCACCCTCTGTTTTCCTCCCATCTCTGACTCTATCCCTTGCTACAAGGAGCCACACACCCACATGCACCCCAAGCTCACTCCACATGCCCTCAGGCCTAGGGATGGCCACATGGGCAGTGCGGGCCACCCATGGGAAGATCCTGTGCTGGCTGTGGAAACAGGCCTGGGGCCATTTGGTTAGGGAATTCCAGGGTCCCCAGTATCCAGAGTGTGGCTCTGGGTAAACATGTCCTCTTGGCCCCTGGACATTCTTGCCTATGAGTAGTTCAACACGGCTGAAAGAGGGCCAGAGAAGCCTTCTAAAGAGTAGGACCCTTCTCACCTGAGTCTGAGGGCAGTACTGTCCAACTCTCACTTTAGCAGAGGAATCCTATAACACATGTAGACCCTCTATAAAAACCCACTCTGCCCCTCAACAAATGCCTACTGAGTGTGACTTCTGGGCTAGGCGCTGGGGGCTGCAAACATCAGAGAAGACAAGCCCATTAGCACATCATTTCCGACTGGAACAAATCAACGATGGTCAGCCTGAACAGAGTTCTGAGTGAGTCAATAACCGGAGCACATCCTCAGGACTGGGTGGAAGGACAAGGCCTTGGATGGGGGTGGCATTTAGGTGGAACCACTGTGACTCAGTTTCCCCATCTATAAAATCGGGCAGTTGGACTGTTTCGATCTTCCATCCAGGATCATGCTGGAAATACCAGTCTCAGTACTTTGGCAAGTACCTTTCCTTTCTGTGCTTCAGTCTTCCCATCTGTACCATGAAGCAGAGGGGAGGTTAGCGAGCTTTCTAAGCCCTATCCCCACCCCAAGCTCGACTCAGAGGAGTCCCACAGCTTACTATGGACTGTGTGCCCGGTGTGCTGAGGATCTGAAAGCAACCACTGTGGCTGGAACAGAGCAAGTGAGGACAAGGGCAGTGGGGGTAGAGATCTTGGAGGGCTGGGCCAGGCCAGAGTAGACAGGCTCTGGCTGAAGCCAAGTGTGGTAGGCAGAATGATGGCTCCCAAAGTTGCCCATGTCCTAATCCCCCAAATCTCTGATTATGTTACTTGACATGTTAAAAGGGTCTTTGCAGATATGATTAAGGATCTTGAGATGGGGAGATTATCCTGGATTATCTGGAAGGGTACAAACCTAATCACATGGGTCTTTTTAAGAGGGAGGCATGAAGATATGATGATAGAAGCAGAGGTCAGAGGGGTGTAGGGGTCACCAGCCAGGGAATGTGGGTGGCTGTTAGAAGCCAGAAGAGGCAAGGAGTCAGATTCTCCTCCAGAGCTTCCAGAAGGAATGCCGTCCTGAGACCCATTTTAGACTTATGACCTCTAGAACTGTAAAATAATAAATCTGTGTTGTTTAAAGCCACTAAGTTTTTGGAAAATTGTTACAGCAGCAATAGGAAACAATTATACTAAATGGGTTCTGGTGTCTGAGACTCCCTCTCACCCCTTAAGAGTAGATCTTAAGGCAAATTCCAGATCCCACCAAATACTGCGTGAAAAACACTGGCCTAGGTGAAACCCCCATCATAGAGGTGGGGAAACCGAGGCCCTTAGAGGGCAACAACTTCCCCAAGGTCACACAATGGGCCCAGTGGCAGGGCCAGTGGGGGACCCACAGCTCTTCCTACTCCTCTGCATAGCTGCCTTGCAACTGTCGCCGGGAGCTGGCCAGCCCCACAGCCCTCAAGGATCTGAGGATTATTTCCTTGGACCTAGACGTTTCATGACCAACTATGCCCTAAGCCTTCCTAAGCCCTGAGACTTCTGCAGGGTCCACCTGGCTTGAATTCTCTGCCTCCCTGCCAGACACCCTCCTTGCCTCTAGGAGTCTGATGGACCCCACCCTGGAGGCCAGAGTACCATCATGACAGCCCTTGTGGCTGAGTAGCTCTGGGAAGCATCTCTGCTCCCACCAGCTGACTTGTGAGAGCACTTATCCCCAGGCTGGAGAGGAAGTCCACTGACTGACATCTTTATTACATCATATCCTCACAACAGCCACACGAGATGGGAAACCTCCATTTTACAGATGGGGAAACCAAGGCTGCGAGGGGTCATTCTAGCCAAGGCGCAACGGGTAACTTCGACACCAGCTGCCCCATCAGTATTCCAGAAAGTCAAGGATCCTCCTCACTCCAGCCAGCAGCGGCTCCCTCTGGGCAAACCTCTTCTTGAAGACAATTTCAGGCAAAACCACCCCCATATCCCTTCTGGGCTTCCTTGCATCCCCTCGGGGCTGCAGTGATCCCTGGGCTCAAGGGCCAGCCTCCTTGGTTCTCTAGCTGGAGAACTGTGTGTGCAGCAATATCTCCTTGAGGCCCACTCAAGTAAGGCCAGATCCTGAAAACTGAGGACACTATTTGCAAACACAGCCCTGCTGGCTCGCTGGCTTGGCAGGGGCCTGACGCCCCAGAAATGCTGGAGGTGGAGAGGGCTGGTCACCAGGAGCAGAAGGCAGTGGCGGGGCGCTGCCCCAGAAGTGCACACCACACTCAGTTCTCTCAGCCCAGGGCCCAGGGCACCTTCTCCATCCTTCCCAGGGAGAAGCTGGCTTCAATTTCACATCACAGGCACTCCTGATCCCCAGGAATCCAGGGTTGCCCCAACAGGACCATGTGAGCCTGGGACCATGGCTGCCTCCCTAAGCCTCAGACTGTGTTTGTCAAATGGGGCCAAGAGGAAGTGAAGGAAAGTGTGGGCAAGCGCTTGGTGAATTGTGAAATGCTGGCACACGCTCGTTCCCTAGGAGATAAACCCTGGCCCAAGACCTGGTGGTGGTCTTGACTGATGAGGCCCCTCATCTGGCTGGTGGGGGTAGTTGGGTCCCTGCCTTGGAGGTGCCACTGGAATTACAGGAGGGAGAATGGGGCTGCCACCCTCAGGGAGTCCTCTAGAGACCTAGACACCTTAATGACCACAAGTAACCTCTCATCTTCTTTCCTTCCTGTGACGGGGCCCTCATCATTAAAAGAGTCCCTTTCTCTGACTTCTGGGGCCCACATGTCTGTCCTTCCAGGGCTCTGAGTGGGCACATGGTGTCCCCATATCAGTAAAATTCTTCAGCGTCACCCAGTGGGGCTCAGAGACACCTCTGGGCATCTCCTGGAATTCTTCCCTCTTCTGACTTTCTATGTCCTTCCCCTTGTAACAATACCTACCGTGCCTGGAAAATGATTCCACCCCAGTCTTACATCCTATAGTCTAGGTGGGGCCAGCTCTATCCCAGAACCCCAGGAGTGGACACATGACCCAGGTCTGGCTAATCAGAGCCCTGCATCCCTGAGTACTGATTGGCTCAGAGATGGAAACAGGATCCTTCCTAGCCAATGAGAGCTGGCCCTAGGATTATGGCTGGACTCTTCGGAAAGAGGTGCCTTTCTCTGTTAGGGCTGCTGTGCTTGGCAGAGTGTCAGCCTCGAGTCCTTTGTTGAGATCTTGCCTAAGGTCTCAGAAATGAGAGTCGAGACTTTTTGCTTAAGTTTGAGTTGGTTTTCTGTGTCTTTCAACAAGAGCCTAATATTGGCCTCATGAACAGTTGGTCACTACAGTGGTGGCTGTGGGTGCCCGCTCTTATCTCCTGTGGCCTCATCACTGCGCTGCCCAACAGACTGACTTCAAACTCTCAGCATCTGCATCCCTGTGGGAGGCAGGGAAGCTTTCTCTAGCAGCTGGAGCCTGCTCTGCTCACATGTGGCTGGCAGGAATTGCCAGAGACTTAACAACCCCACCCCCACCCCCACTCCCAAACCAGCTACAGCTCTCAACCAGTGACTGTTGGGAAGTTGGTGTATAAATACCCCAGCTCCTTCATGCTTCAGGTGGGACAGCTGAGGAATGGGCTCTACACTGACTCCTGGAGCTGCCCAGTGGGAATGAGTTCTAGTTATCTGCAGTGGTCACTTGCTTGATAACATTCCCTTAGTTGGGTACCTCCCCTTCCCTGACTTACCTCTCCCCTCCCACACTGTGCTGCCTGTTCCCAAATGAGGTACTTGCACTTGAATCTTTGTCTTGGGCATGTTTTGGGGAAACCTTAGGTATGACAGTCACTGAGTCCCAGTGATTCTGCCTTGGTTGTGTCTCCTGATGCCATTTCCTCTGCATCCTCTGCCTCTGTCACTCCCACCACTCACCTGGACAGCTGGACAGCCTTCTTCCTGGTGTTTCTGTGTCCACTCTAAGAGCCCTGCAGGTTCCAAGCTGCAGCTAGAGTGGTATTGCTAAAATGCCAAAGCACTAGTGTTCTTCCTCTTCAGTGGCTCCCCTTGGCTCTTGGGATGAATGCTTGACTCCTGAGACTGGCATTCAAGGCCATTGGAGAGCTATTCTCCGTAGACCTCTGTCAGTTTCAGCCACATGGCTTTCTGGAGCTAAAGAGTGTCAGCCTGAGGAAGGGACAGCATAAGGCCTCACAGCAAGGCCACTCCTGGCCTGTTACCTGGGTCTCTTGACTCAACCCAGGCCCCAGCCCACTGGCTCACCTGAAACTGAAGGTCTGCAAAGAAGGGGCCAGGATTGCCAGCTGAGGAGCAGAGGGTGAGGAGGGTGGGACAACACGAGGAGGTGCCTTGGCAGAGTGGAAGTCTGG